CCTCAGAGACCATGATACACACCGACAGAGAGCAGAATAGAGACTGTTCCCCCTACATAGGGTCACTTGGCAGATATGGATTGACACCTGTCCTCAGAGCCCCTGATACACACTGACACAGAGCAGAATAGAGACTGTTCCTCCTACATAGGGTCACTTGGCAGATATGGATTTACACCTGTCCTCAGAGTCCCTGATACACACTGACACAGAGCAGAATAGAGACTGTTCCTCCTACATAGGGTCACTTGGCAGATATGGATTGACACCTGTCCTCAGAGCCCCTGATACACACTGACACAGAGCAGAATAGAGACTGTTCCTCCTACATAGGGTCACTTGGCAGGTATGGATTGACACCTATCCCAAGGATCCCTGATACACACGGACACAGAGCAGAATAGGGAATGTTCCTCCTACATAGGGTCACTTGGCAGATATGGATTGACACCTGTCCTAAGGATCCCTGATACACACTGACACAGAGCAGAATAGGGAATATTCACTAAATGCCAAACATTGTTATACAGGGGAATATTCAGTAAATAAGGATAAGGGGGGACCTACTGTCCTCCCCCCTGGCCCCCACCCCTGCACGGTGGGTGGGGGCCATAAATCTCAATGGGGGGACCTACTGTCCTCCCGCCTGCCCCCACCTGTGAGCGGTGGGTGGGGGCCATAAAAATAATGAGGGGGGGGACCTACTGTATGATGTTGTATCGATCGGGTGGTGACAGACCAAACTCCCCGTTTAACGCACCGCAAACAACCACAAACAGTCCATTTGCACAACCGCAAACTCCCCATTTGCACAAGGTTGGATACCAATCTAGCCATGTCCCGTTCCTTGTCCTCACTGATGTCATTGAAGGTCTCTTCCTCCACCCAGCCACGTACAACACCAAGGGTCCCCGAAAGGTGACAACAAGCCCCTGGGACGCCTGCTGTGTTTGGTCTTCCACCTCCTCAAAGCCACCTTCCTCCTCTGACTCCTCTTCTTCAGACTCCTCTCTCTGCGTTGCCTCTCTCTGCATTATTATAAGGTGTGTTAAGTAGTACTATTCCTATCAGTTTAATCCCTGTTACGCCCCCTATCAGGGGACGTGTATATGGCATCGATTTTAGGAACCGGGAGATGGAAAAAGATGCTTGGTCGGTCCTCCTACTTCAAATTTGGGGCACTGCGCATGCAATCTAATGTGCCACCAGATAGGAGTGGTGTGTTAAGTAGTACTATTCTTATCAGTTTAATCCCTGTTACGTCCCCTATCCGCTGATGTGGAGCAAGACGCAGCAGCAGAAGAGGACTCAGCCGAGGAGGTTATGGAAGAGGATGGAGTAGGAGGAGTAGAGGAGGTGGCAGCAGGCCTGCTTGCAAGTCGTGGCGGTGTCACCAACTCCTCTGCAGAGCCACGCATTCCATGCTTGGCAGCTGTCAGCAGGTTTACCCAATGTACAGTGTAGGGGGGGCCTGCCTCTGCCTGTCATTTTTTTTTTGATTAGTGGTACTATGCATGCAAGCTACTGTGACACCAGATATGAGTGGCACTGTGAACTGGCAGAGGTTGGCAGAGTACACGCTGTAGGCCTGACACACCCGCTTGAGGACAACTAACTGCTATTCAATCTATAACAGTGAAAAAAGTTTTTGGGTTTTTAAATGCACGCTATTGTGACACCAGTGAGTGAGTGGTGGCACTGGGCACAATATCCACTGTGAGCCTGACACAGACGCTGGCAGACAACTAACTGCTATTCAATCTATAACAGTGAAAAAAGTTTTTGGGCTTTTAAATGCACGCTATTGTGACACCAGATAAGAGTGGCACTGTGAACTGGCAGAGTACACGCTGTAGGGCTGACACACCCGTTTTGAGACAACTAACTGCTATTCAATCTATAACAGTGAAAAAAGTTTTTTGTTTTTAAATGCAAGCTATTGTGACACCAGTGAGTGAGTGGTGGCAAGTGGGCACAGTATCCACTGTGAGCCTGACACAGAAGCTGGCAGACAACTAACTGCTATTCAATCTATTATAGTGGGGAAAAAAATTAATTCTTTTTAAATGCAAGCTATTGTGACACCAGTGAGTGAGTGGTGGCACTGGGCACAGTATCCACTGTGAGCCTGACACACCCGCTTTGAGACAACTAACTGCAATTCAATCTATAACAGTGAAAAAAGTTTTTTGGTTTTAAATGCACGCTATTGTGACACCAGATATGAGTGGCACTGTGAACTAGCAGAGTACACGCTGTAGGGCTGACACACCCGCTTTGAGACAACTAACTGCTATTCAATCTATAACAGTGAAAAAAGTTTTTGGGTTTTTAAATGCATGCTATTGTGACACCAGTGAGTGAGTGGTGGCACTGGGCACAGTATCCACTGTGAGCCTGACACAGAAGCTGGCAGACAACTAACTGCTATTCAATCTATAACAGTGAAAAAAGTTTTTTTTTTTAAATGCAAGCTATTGTGACACCAGTGAGTGAGTGGTGGCCCTGGGCACAGTATCCACTGTGAGCCTGACACAGAAGCTGGCAGGCAGGCAACTGCAATTACATTACACAGAAAAAAACAAAAAAAGCAGACTGATGTTCTAGCCCTAAAAAGGGCTTTTTGGGGTGCTGTCCTTACAGCAGAGATCAGATGAGTCCTTCAGGACTGTAGTGGACACTGTATACCCTAACCTAGCTATGCATTTCCCTATCTAATCAACAGCAGCTACACTCCTCTCACTAAGCATGCAGCTTGAGAATGAATGTAAAATGGATGCTGTCCAGTAGGTGGGAGGGTCTGCTAGGGAGGGTGTGCTGCTAATTGGCTGGAATGTGTCTGCTGACTGTGAGGTACAGGGTCAAAGTTTACTCAATGATGATGAATAGGGGACGGATCGAACCGCGAACATGCTATGTTCGCCAGGAACTATTCGCAAGCGAACCGTTCGGTGCATCACTAGTCATTTCGAAGGATTGCCCCTTTGTCCTACCAGCTTTGTTTTTCTTGAGGGGTTGCTGCGGCTTGCTGTTCTTTCAGGAGTTTGAGGTCTGTGGGCAGGGTTTGCATAGTATAGATAGGAGTGGTCTCGGTGGCCACTCTTCCGTCCACTTTCCATCCTTGCCGTGCCGCTTCCTTAGCGGCCTGATCAGCCAGGTGATTGCCATGGAAGGTTGAACTAACAAGAAGTTGTTAGTTCAACCTTCCATGGGCCTTTACCTTCAGTACGGCCACCTCTTCAGGTAACAACAGGGCATCCATCAGTTCTTCAATAGCTGCCCCATGTTTTCACAGGGGTATCGGTGGCCGTAAGGAACCCCCTGGTTTTCCAAATTAGACCAAAATCATGTGCCACCCCCAGGGCATATCTTGAATCTGTATAATCTGAATCTGTATAAATATTGACCCGTGTACCTTCAAATAGTTTACAGGCCACCGTAAGGGCTGTTAGCTCTGCCTCTTGGGCTGATTTCATCGGTGGAAGTGCAGTGGCCTGTAATTGTCCTTGTTCATCAGCAAATCTAGAACCGTCCACAAACAGTGTACAGTCTGGGTTGGATAGGGCAGGTTCATGCACAGTTGGTAGGTGGGTGGTCTCCATCTTCATCTGTTCAAAACAATCACGAGGGGCTTCTGGATCTTGCCCCATGGGAGGGAGATCCTCACATATCTCTGTATGGTACCGAGGGTAAATGACTGTATTGCAGTTAATAATCTTCTTAGTCACTCCCGCTAGTTCATGTTGTTCTTGAGTTGCTATACTCCAAGACTTGGCCATTGGCCTAGATCTTCCCACGAGAGGTCAGGAGACTTGGTGAATGAGACATGTGGGACAGCCACCTCCCAGTGGTGGTAGAGGTGTGATACTTCCATTGGAAGGTGAACCAACAAGATCACATAATAAATCTGTTAGTGTGATGCGAATTTCCAAAAGGTGGAACAACTCTTCTTCATAGTATGGATCAGGGCGTGGGGTGTCTTTAAACCACAGTGTGCAATGCAGCAAGTTCTCCGGTTGCACGTCATGTGGAGCTGTGGGAGTGGGTACTTGAAACTCCATCCGGACATCTGGGTTGATGTCCAAGCTGTACCAATAATGGGCTACTCCTCCCTTGGGAAGTGGCAGAAGAGTGGCCGGGTTCAAGGAGTAACATCTTTGAAGGGTCACATTGTCAGGCAGCAGTAAAGAGGTTTGTAGACCAAGATGGCGTTGGGAGGAAAGGTGCTTTGGTTGAACTTGTTGCAAAATGGCGGAAATTTCATGTGGAGCGAGAACTGTTAGAGAATGCCCAAGGACAAAGTCATTGGTCTTGTCCAATAAAGTACTAGCAGCAAACACTGCCCGCAGGCAGGAAGGGCAACCTCTGGCTACGGGGTCGAGCATGCAGGAAAAGTAACCAGTGGGTCTCTGTCTGGAACCATGGGATTGTGTAAGGACCCCTGAAGAATGGCCCATCTTTTCTGAGACGAACAGTTTGAAAGGCAATTGTTAGTTGGGCAGGCCCAAAGCAGGTGCGGAGGAAATTGCCTTTTACAGGGCAGAGAAACAGGCTAGAGCATGAGGTGAAAGTGAGAACGGCTCGCTCTTCAAAACGTCGTATAGTGGTTGCATAAGCTGAGAAGCTTCAGGAATCCATGATCTGCTATAGGTAATGAGGCCTAAAAAGGCATGGAGAGTCTGGTGAGTAGATGGGGGTCAGATTCAGTATAGGGAGAATCCTATTTCTGGTAAGATGACGGGTGCCATGGGAGAGGCAGTGTCCCAAGAAGACCACAGAGGGCCGGCACCACTGGAGTTTGGATCTAGATACTTTACAACCCTCTTCGGCAAGGAAGCATAGAAGATCTTCGGAATTGCGCTCAGCAGTTGTAAGGTTGGCAGCGCAGAGAAGTAGGTCATCAACATACTGGAGCAAGACCACATTGGTGTGAGCTTTTTGCCATGGTTCCAGCACCATGGACATGGCCCTTGCAAACTGGGTGGGAGAATTCTGTGCACCCTGAGGCATGACTGTCCATGTATACTGTTGGCAGTCATGAGTGAAGGCAAAGAGATGCTGGCAGGACGGATACAGGGGCACACTGAAAAAGGCATTGGCGAGGTCGGCCACAGTGAAGAACTTGGCTGTGGATGGAACCTGGGACAACAAGGTGTGCGGATTGGGGACAACAACGATGTCTTTGACAGTGACATCATTAACGGCACACAGGTCCTGAACCATTCGGTATTGGTCTGGTTGGCCCTTTTCAGTTTTCTTCTTGACAGGGAACACAGGGGTGTTACATTGTGATACACATTTGATAAGAGCCCCTTTTGCTAGGAGGCTATCAACTTGCTTGGAGATGGCGAGAGCTTGTGCAGGTTTCAGTGGGTACTGAGGCCTCCGTGGTGGGGCAGCTCCTGGTAAAAGGGTAACCACAACTGGTGGAACACGTAGGCGGCCTATGTCATCCAGGCCCATAGACCAGAGTTTAGCAGGGATTCTGTCCAGAGCGCTTGGGGCATCCGTGACCCTTGTTTCCCCTGTGGGAGATGTGAGGTGTAGCAATAATGGTAGGGAACAGAGGACAGACGTGTCTTTATGAGATAGGGGCGTGAGTAATTGAACCTGACCATCTGCAGTAAACGTAATTGAGGCCTGAAGGCAGGATAGGACATCAGCACCCAAAAGGTTAATGGTACAGGTGGAGGAGACAACAAATCATGAGAGGATATCAGAACCCACACGCAGGAGCTTAGTCAGTGGATTACTGCGGGGAGTACCATCAACACCAACACAGGATATATCGGTGTCTGACAGGAAGGATGGGCCTGGCAGGTCTTGTTCTCTAAGAACACTGCGGGCTGCACCTGTGTCAACTAAGAAGGTAGTGGGATGTCCTTCAACGGGCAGGACAACTGTGGTGAGAGGCCCTCCCCCATCCCCTGTAGACACTGCCATGGCAGGGGTATCAGACACAGGCTTGCCGGTTACCTATTGTAATAAATCTAAATGAGCCTGGTCGGGGCCAGTGTAGCATCATGAAGAGGTGGCGGGGAGACTTGCCGGGGGAGCAGGGTGGGCAGTACGGCCTTGCCTAGGTATGGGGCGACCCTCCTGTAAACATCAGTATCAAACCCGTCAGGAGGAGCTGGAGGATAAGTACGGGCATCTGGAGATGGTGGGGGAGCTTGGGAATACTCAGGAGGCGGAAAGTGTGGAACCAGGGGAGGGGGTGGTGGCTGAAAGTACCCTGGAGGGAGATATCCATAAGTAGCAGCTGAGGAATGAGAAAACCGGGGGACCAATGGCCTAAATAATCTTGGGTGGGTTCAATCTCTTCGGAAGTGGCCAACCTGATGACAATTGTAACAGGTTCTGGCTGCGGGTGCCCGATCTCGAGTAGGAATCGGGGGCCTGTGGCACGGTATAACATTGGGGAGCATGGACAGGCCCAGTGATAGGAGCTGGGGCGGTAAACATCAGTGGGTTAGCTCTTCTCCTTACGGCTGTAGCACTGACTCTAAAACTTTAGCTACCAACAAAAGGGTGTCCAGAGGGATGATTCTATACTCAGGGCGAGAGAGGATTAAACCCTTACGAATGTGTTCTTTCAGACCAGCCACGAAGGCTGCGGACAGCATGCTTTGTTGTATGTACTAAACCCTAGATCTGAAAAGGTTTGGGTTAGTCGTGAATGATATTTCTCAACTGACTCAAGCTTGTCCTGAACAATATCATTTATACAAGTGGCTTGGTCAGCTAACTTGTCTTGGGCCCAGGCATGGAGTTGTTCACAGAACGTAATACCAAACTGGAAATCTGTGTCAGTAGTGAGGGGAGCATCATTGAAACTCCTCGCCATTATTGGCCAATAGGCATCACCAGCTTTAATTTCACACAGACTATAGAGATTCCGCCAAGCAGCGGAGTACGTTTTGCGGATTTGAGCCATTCTGCGGAAGAAGGGCATTGGCTGTTTCTCTGGGTCAGGGAGGGAAGTGACCAAAGTGGCAGCTTGTGAGGGGTTGAACGTGACATACATAGGTGGAGCACCTTCGGCAGCGGGGGATACCTGGAGATGCACTCCGGAGGTGGCCTGTCTCAGTGGGAGTCTATTACCCTGAGGGTGGAGCGGGCCACGCTCTTTGGCATCATCATCCCTGGGAGCAACGGGGCCCTGATAGGAAGCAGCATCAAGGGAAGCGGGGGCTGGAGTGGCCGGAGTGACAGGGGCTGGGAGACCAGTGACAACGTTATGGGGGGTGCCCAACTGTGACGTAGTAGGATGGAAGCCTGAAGCTACCGGAGAGACACCCATCGCAAAAGGTTGGCCCGAAGTGGCAAACTCATCAGAGCCGACCACCATGAGCGGGTAACTGGGACTCGCATTAGGGGCATACGGGACCAGGGCCATGGAGGAGGCAGGGGTAGGGGCAGGTTGGGTTGGGCGTAACAGGTGAGCAGTCAGGGCATGGGCAAGGGCAGAAACAGGTCGGAAGTACCAGGGGTTGATGGGGTAAGGGAAGGTGAAGCAGGGGAAGCCGGAGTAGAGGGTTGGGACTTAGCGGTGGAGAGGGTGAAGAGTAATGACGACAGATCGATCGATGAGACAGCGGGAAGAACATTGGGAGGTGTAGGAGGAGGGGTGGGGGTAGTGGGATGAGCCAAGGACGAGAGGGCTGAGAGAAGGGATGAGAGGTCAGTGGGAGGAGAAGAAGAAGGAGGAGGAGGATGAGAGTTGGAGGGTGTAGTGGGAGGAGTAGGAGCAGTAGGAGTGGGGGTGGTAGAATGTGCTAAGGCTGAGAGGGCAGAGAGAAAAGATGTGAAGTCAGTGGGAGAAAGGTTTGAAGAAGTAGGGGAAGGATCGGGGACGGAAGGGATATCATGGAGTGCAGGAGTCGAGAGATGAGGAGATTTGAGAAAATGGCTGAGAGGAGGGAGGATAACAAGACAGCAGGAGTAGTAGGGGATGAACTGACTGGGGTGGTAGAGGTAGCAGAGGGGAGAGGCGGAGCAGTGACATCAGGAGGCAAGGCAGGAGCTAACGGGACAGGATCGGGGATGGGGGGAGGAAGGACTGCAGAGGGAACAGTAGGAACAGGCGGAGACAATGGAAGGGGCGGGGGACAAGGAGATAGAGGAGGTGGAGAGGCATCAGAGGGGGCGATTGAGAGGAGGGGTGATGACGGGGCCTGGTCGGGGACAGTGGGAAGCTGGAAGGACGGCTAGGATTTAGGAGTATGAGGGAAGGAATGTATCGGTACTGGATAATAATAGGCTCCATCAGCTCCGAGCACGGGACACAAAGGGGTGGGGACCTGACTTACACCACAAGGAGGTGGTGTCTGGGCGTTAACAGGGGAAGCTGGGCGGGAATTAATCAACACGCTCTGGGGGCTGGTCAGGAAGCAGTGGGGGATACATCATCATTACAAACATTACGGTGATATACGTAAATCGTTTGCTCTTCAAAGTCTAACTCTTCCTCTGTCCAACCCTCCCGTTTGAGACCTATAGCGACCCGGTACCAAGCCTCTACGGCTTTCGTCAACCCGTTATCCAGCAATAAACCCTCTTTGTCAACATGCAGTTTCCTCCAAAACTCAGGTTGCAGCCTACCACTAGGTGACTTTTGAAAGCCACAAATCTTAGCTATTTTCTTAATTTTCAACATAGTATCTTCTCCTGCTCTTTCTCTAACAATATCACAAGCCAAAGGTCTAGCGTGTTCCTGTCCCATCTTGACCAAACGTGACAGGGACAGGAGGAGGGAGAAGAAGAAAGAGGAAAGTCTACAGTGCTCGACTGCCACGAGGACTTGGGTCCCGTGCGCTTTCCCTAAACGTAGACTAGTCACAGGGGTCTGCCCACCCGAGATGGTGGCCACGGACCGGAGCGAGCGAGCTTGGGTGACTGTCACGATTCGGGGAACCCAACACGCTGGCACACACACACACACACAAAAGGTGCCGTACCGGACCTTAGAGTGGCCGGGCTAAGCACACACAGAATAGTCAGGAAACAAGCCGAGTAAGGGGAACCAGAAGACAGAATAACGTGAAACGAGCCGAGGTCAAAGGGTAGGAGAAAGTCACAGAGTCAGATAAACAAGCCAGAGAGTACGTAACCAGAAGCACAAGGTAAGTAGCAATACTAGCAAGCAAAGACCACAACAGGGCAGGGAGGAACAGGAAAGGTAAGTATTTAAACCATCAGGTTAATTCTGATTGGATAATTTCCAATCAGAATTAACAATCACACGTGGGAGATATCTAGACCTCCCACTGTGATTGAGGCACTGTGCCTTTAACGCCGGGTCAGGTGACTGACCCCGGCGTGTATAAACCTGGGCGGTCTCCCAGCGTGCAGCGTCATGCATGCTGCCGCTGGGGGACGTGGAGGGAACGGCGGGCGGCATCCGAGGCTGGAAGGATGCCGCTCGCCGTACCCACGAGGCGGAGGGGACCGCGGACGGCTGGAGGGTGAGTACTGCGAGCGGAGTGCAGCCTCCCCTCGCAGCCGCCCGCGGGAGCCTGACATTACCCCCCCCTCGAAGACCGCCCAGGGGGCGGGAAGCGGAAGGCTTCAAAGGAAAGCGGGCATGAAAGGAGCGGACCAAAGAGGGAGCGTGCACATCGGAGCTTGAAACCCAGGACCGCTCCTCAGGGCCGTACCCCTTCCAGTCCACCAAATATTGCAGCCGACCCCTAGAAACACGAGAGTCGAGAAGGGCAGCCACCTCGTACACGTCGTCAGAGACAGCTCGAGGGGAAACGGGCCGCCCGAGGGGACGAGAGAACCGGTTACACAGCAAGGGCTTCAAAAGCGAGACGTGAAACGTGTTCGGGACACGCATGGAAGGAGGCAGATCAAGGGAGTAGGAAACGGGGTTAACCCTACGTAACACCTTGAAGGGACCAAGAAACCTGGGGGCAAATTTCATCGAGGGAACCTTGAGACGGAGGTTCCGGGAGGACAACCATACCCTATCACCCGGAAGATAAGAAGGGGCCGCAACCCTACGGCGATCAGCAAACTTTTTCTGAGCAGCTGCTGAACGAGACAGCGCAACATGGACCTGATCCCACGTCTTCCGCAAAGAGGCGAGGTGCTGGTCCAAGGCGGGCATTCCCTTGTCGGAGAACGCACCGGGAAGGACAGAAGGACGAAACCCATAAGCAACCTCAAAAGGACTTAAGCCAGTAGACGAATGAGACACCGTATTCCTGGCAAATTCAGCCCACGGAAGAAGGCGAGACCAGTCATCCTGGTGCGCATTAGTGAAGCAGCGCAAATACAATTCCACAGACTGATTAGCACGTTCGGCCGCACCATTAGATTGCGGGTGA